TGCAGTGGAAAAGAACTGGGCAGAGTGGATAACTATTGAATTTAGAGGGTATAGTAAGGAAGCGTATTGTGTCAAAATCAGCTGCACAAGACTCGGTTTAAAGCAACTAACTGGGCTTAAAGGTCTTTTTAATAATGAATTTTTGAGTCAGCTGGTGAAGTAGTAGAAGTAATTGAATGCTTGCAAGTGCGTGCTTGCAAGGCAAGAAAATAGGTGTGTATGTTTGCAGGTAAATGAGGAGAACCTTGTAAGCAGTGAGCAAAAATGAGGTGCAGCTATGAGATCAGTTTAAAATGAACTAATGTAGGTCCAAAACAATTCAGCAGTTGCTGAACCATATGCAGTAAGTTCTTCTGTTTTGTTGCAATTAATGTTTCTACTCTTAAGTGTGTTGTATGCTTGTATATTTAGAATGTTGCTTCTACCTTAACTGACTAGATTTGTCACAGATACAGCTGATCAAGTAAATTAATGGTATCTACACTGAAGTGAAAGAATACAAATCTCAAGTCTTAGACTTAACATTTTCTGATAAGTATGCTGAACTGTGGGTTCTGGCTGGCAAGATGTGCAACTTACTGGAAGAAAATGTTCTGAACTTACAAGGCATATAAACATCCTCCTGTCTTTTCCTTCTCCCCCGCCCCTCCCCTTTCCTAATACTGTCTTCAGGGCAGTAAGTCTTTGCAATTTTGAGAAGCTGACTTGCTGCAGCAGCATTAAGTAAGGCACTGTTTTTTCGGCCAAGGTACAAAATAGAAAGTATGCTGACCAGTATACTTAACTCCAGGCAGGTAACAGGCATTATAATGGAGTATTGTAGGGAGAGGTGCTAGGCATATCCTTAAATATACAGGAAATTGGAGTGCAAGAGCCTGTAAAATTCTTGTACTACCAAGACTCTTGCAAAAGACCTTAAACTCCTAGAAAACAAAACCACCAAAAAATGCCCCTGAACAAAACCAAACAAGTTCTAGAGCTCATCCAAGTAGATTAAGGAAGCCCTTTTCTTGTGAAAGTGTTGAATTCCAATTTTACAGGGGTTGTTACCAGTTTGCTTTGTTGTCCTATTAGTGGCCATAGAGCTGGTTGAAGCGCTTCAGTTTACTCATTCTCTTTTCCTCTCTGTAGGCTACATCGTGGTTCATAGTATCCTTCAGGGAATGCTTTTTGATGTTCAGTAAAAGTTGATACAGACTTGCTCTGTAGTGTCAGTTTTCTGTTTGCTTCAAAAATATGGAAGTGTCAGTCACTTCCTGTTGACTTTTCCATGGGTAAGAAAGGTAGAAGCTTCACTGCAAGTTGGCAGGTGTTTTTTGTATCTTGTGTTCCTGTGGTACCTCTCCAAGTAATATGTTGGCTATACATTAGCTATAATGTTTGTAACACTTATGTTAGGTCTACAAAAATTAATTCTAGTTGTTTTCTTGTACAGTAACAAAGATGACTGTTAATGGTAATCAAACAGTGTTTATTAAAACTCAAGAATACTATGCAAGATAATAACAATTAGGTGCCAGTGCTGTTAGAAGTCTTCAGAAAGTACTTTGTGTGTTTATTTGAAATGCTTCTTTTTAGTATTCATCCTTAATCCAAGGAGTCTGCTTATGAGGAGAGCATCTGCAGTCCAGTGATTTGGCATCATTACAGCTAGGAATATGGAATTGTGAAACATTAACTAAGATGTCTTGTTTACTGAAAATTGTATTCTAGAAGAGGACCTGAACTTAAAATTCTCAAGTCACAAAGCCTGACGACCAAAGCATGGAGCTCTGGTGTACAGTTGTAACTTTTTCTTACTGTGGATGTGGGGGAGAAGGCTCAATGTAGTTGAGGAAATTGTCTTAAAATGTGACAGGACTGCACTGGTGCATTCAGCTGATCTACTTGGTTGTGTATCTGCTTTGAATTTAGCTGTCTGAAGAGGGGAAAGAGGAAGCCAAGTGCTGGGAGTGAGGCTTACAGATGGAGGGTGTTGTTTGTCTGAACGAGAACAGTTCAGTTTTACGAATCTCAGGGCTCTTCTCTTCTTCTAGCATGTGGAAGATGCAGTTCTGACCCACTGAAAAGCTCTTCTCCCTACTGGACTAACTGGGCACATGGTATTGTGTGGCTTCAGGTACTTGCAGTGAGACTTAAGTTAATGCTTTCGTGTTAAAGGTCATAGCTGAATCATGAAGCAGCATTATATTTAAAGGCAAACTGGGAGTCATATAGTAACACACTACATGGTAAGAAATGCAGTAAAGTTGAGAGGTTTCAATATATAAGATAACTCTGGACATCATAGTGACTTGACAGATGCATTACAGGAGAAAACAGCTGCCATTTCATTCTTGTACACAGCTGAAAATATCATGTGTGTGACAATACACTGTGCTGCATAACTTCTAAGTACAGACTACTTAGTGTCTGGCTGACCCAGACAGATCAACATTAAACTAGTCCCCCTAGACAACACCAGGATTGCCCATGTGATGTTTTCTTCAGCTAACTCTTCTGGTGTTATGTGGAGGAGGCCCTGTACTGGCCCTAGTTGGGAACGCATGTGGCTGATGTTGCAGAGCTCTGGAGCGAGAACTGCTCCTTGCAGAATGAAACCCACTGGAGTGTGTTCTTCTTACAGTCAGTATGAGGTGATACTGTGAAATGGTTGCCACAGATCTATTGTATGACTGGTAGTTTGATGTTAGTACCCGATTTCAAACTCGGTTGACCTTTGTACAGGAGCGGATGCTACTCTATCCTTTCAGAAAATGCACAAAATATGCTTCCTTGCTGATGTTTGTGATGTGATGTTTTTTCATTTGTTGTTTGAATACAAAGAAATAAAGAGAGAATGCACAACAGCATCTGACAGTGCCTGTGAGTGACTTCAGCTAGAACCCCTAGGTAGTGCTGGAACCTTGGTCAGCTTTCCACCTGGTTAATGCTGGGCTCGTTGTCTTGGCTCACCTTGCTTCTGTGGTGTGCTCTGCAGAGAATGCTACCTCCTCAACCAACCTGGCTGCAGCAGCAAGCTGGAATCATTTCCAGCTGTAGCACGCTTTTTCTGGTCCATTGTAAATCTTTGTGCTCTAAAGCATAAGGAGTTGTAGAGTGGAGGTGTCATGTATTACTTAAACTTTAGACCTTTCTGTTAGTAGGAACATTTGCTACGATTAAGGAGTTAGGGTAAGAGAAATAACTATGAAGAGGGAAAGCTCAGCTTCTGAGGAGTAGGGTTTACAGCTTTCTCAACTTCTCAGTCATTGAGACCTCTACCTACAAGGTTCATTGAATAACTAGGGGTTATTTTGTGGTGGTCTTATATTCTTTTGCATTCCTAAGCATAAGGTACAAAACAAGGTAAAGACAGTCATCTGCTAAGCAATCCTACCTTCTGCTTTTGTTGTCTGCTGCTGTGTTGGACCCCTTAGTGGAAAGAACATGAAGAACTTTCAAAAGATGTTTTTGACTCTTGTGATACAGAGAATAGGATGGGGAGCAGTTCTTCTGCCTACCTTGTATTCTTATTTGATTCCTGGAGCTTATTTTAAATATTTCTGGCATCCTAACCAGGAACTTCTGGTAATAGGCTGTAACATTACAGAGTAACGAGACTGAATATAAGTTAGCAGAATCCTGATCGCTAATTTCTTGTACTGTGCAGGTGTCTTGATCATATACATGTTCCTCTGGCCATTGTACGAGGTATGTGAGGTAATGGCTTGAGTAATACCACTTTATGTGCCCGGTTTCACTTTTGTTCACTTCTATAGGTTCTTTCAGAGGAATAGACAATTATAGTCAAGTGTGGTATGGCTTAACTGACAATGCCAGGTCTCGAGAGTTATTTTATTGGAGGCATTTGAATTTGAACTGAGCCTTTGTTATCTGCAGCTGAAATGTTTTCAACTTTTTCCTGGCAGACTTCTTGCTTACTGTGCTATAGATATAATAGATACTGAATCAGCATATAGACTATTGTGTTCTTAAACTTTGGTTATTTTCCTTCTTGCAGCTTTTTTTTACCTGCAAATGCCTTTTTTACCAGATTCCAAAAATAGAAACAGTAAAACTGGATTTGCTGATTGTGGTCATGTTGCTATGCTGTCTGTATAGAAATACCAATTTAGCACAGGATACAAAAGTTACCTCTCTTCACTGAGGAGCTAAGTGAGGCTTGATCTTGAAATACGCCTGTTTCTGAGGACTGCAGCTGGGTGTTATGGTAGTCTTCCATAAATAACTACCAAAATAATATCTATAGACCTCTAGCAGTCACAAAGCAATTCCAAACATTATTAATACAAAGCCATCATATTGATTATTTTTTAAATAATTATGTACACTCATTAATTCTTTTCTCTCAAATACCTTTTCCCACTAATTAAGCTCTCGTGAGCAAGAACTTCTAGCTTATATAACTAGATCTCTTTTCCTAATTACTGTGTGTCTTTCTGTATGCAAATGGCAGTTTCATAAATCTGACTGAGAAAGAAGCTGTTTGAAAAGCATGGTAGTTACTTCTGTAGTCTTGTGGAAACTGCTGCTTTTCCCCCTGAAACTGGCATTGTCATCTCCCACAATGAGATTTAAAATACTTATATACTATTGCTCGCTATCAAGCATTGAGTTTTACTACTAAATGTGTTTTTACTTAATGATGACAAATAGAGGTTCTCCTTGCATTTGTCTTGCGTCCTTAAAATAATTACAGAAGTCTGCAAGAAAAGCAGCGTGTCATGGAATAGTTTGGGTTGGAAGGGACCTTTAAAGTTCATCTAGTCTAATAGGTCATCTGTATGCTGTATATACTGAAAACTGGTTGCTCTGTATTAAGGATCTTAATGCTCTTGAGAAGAACCTTGGTCTGTATACCTTTTTAACTAAAAATTGTTTAAAGGTTTTTGTCTAAAGTTTTTGCTTAAACAATAGCATTTTATGTGTGCTTCTTGAGGCATGGCTATGAGTCTTCATGCCACATGTCTTATGACTATCTCTCTCTTGTCTTTCAGTGAATGATAGTGTCTAGAAAGGGTATGTCCCTTCAGGAGAGAGGTGCCAATGTCCAACCGGCCTAATAACAATCCAGGGGGGTCACTGCGACGTTCACAGAGGAACACTGCTGGGGCCCAGCCACAAGACGACGCAGTAGGAGGAAGGTATGACTGTTATCTGTGAGTGTGTTTTAATGTACAAGAGCAAAATTGATGTGATTTAATTCAAGAATGAGGTTTTCTGCTGTGCAGTCCACGCAGTGAGACCTGTGTAAAATCTTTTTGCCCCTGAAGTGCTGCCTATACCGTTATTGCATGGGATGAAAACATGGGTAACTTGTACCACGCGTGTTCAGCTAGAATAGCGGTAGCAGATCTATGGGGGGAAAGTTTAACTGAGCTATATTCCACAAATCATAGGATGGTTTAGGTTGGAAAGGACCTTGAAGATCATTGAGTTCCAACCCCCCTGCATAGGCAGGGACAGTCACAGGTAGCAACAAATTCTTTCCCCCTCTTCTTTCCCTGATAACAAAAATATTGGGTGACAGATGGATAGGGAGGCACTGTTGTGTGAAATCTGGGAAAATCTATGTCCCTGTTAGGAGAAGACTGAATAACTGGCAACTCTTTGTTCCCTTGCAATGCATGTTAATCATGTGCAGCTTTTGAATAACTCAAGAACAAAAGATTTGCTATCTTTTAATATACTTGTACTAGTGAGCAAGTGAGCCAGGTTGTGTTTGTTCTGTAAGTGGTTGCCTCTACAATGCAGAACAAAGAAGATCCTTGAAACTTTTCTTTGGATGGTGACTGTATAATTATTGCCATGTTCTTTAAGGAATTAGGAGTCTTCATCTGAGTGAGTGAAGCCTGTATGGATAAGTCTGTCTTAAATTTTGTTAAAACATTAACCTAATGAAGAAAGGTTACACTATCACGGTAGGCATACTGTCTGTATTCTAATTCCTCAGAGGTGTTATTGGTACAGTTTGAATATGGGTATCTTGGGCTTGGGCTTTTTGGTATAAGAGAATTAAAATATTGCAGGTCAGTGGCACAAAGAAAGAAGTTTTTTACTTTGAAGGAATTGGGATATAACATAATGAAGATGACGTGTATTTCTTACTAGTATAAAGTCTAACTGAGAATAAGGTCACTGTTGAATGGATGAAGGAGGCTAGCCTTGTCTAAGGAACTTCGGGGGGAATAATTCAATCTGCAAAATGCAGCTCCACTTTTTCTAAACTAGTCTCTACTGTACAAATGGAAAGCAGATGATAAACACAAGGCTTCTGTCTTGGGCTTCTGTAGCATAAGAAAGGGAAAGTTGCTGCCTGATGTAGCTGATTATTTTGAAAGCTAGAATTGGTTTTGGACAACGCTCCCTCTTTAAATGAGGCATGGTGAACCCTTCATTCCATTCTGTCCATTCTGTGTTATCTCTACATTTGGATAGATATTTACGTTAGATATTGCCTTACCAACTCTCTCCTTTTACACCGAATTTGGCCTTGAGTGAATAGCCCTCTCCCTAGAATAAAGAACTAGAGGCAAGTTATTTGGGTGTGCCTTGGGGGATTCTTCTTCAGATATCTAGTGTTTATTCAGATTTTACAGGAGAATGCCAGGGAGAAGCTCTACAGCAAGTCAGACAAATTAAAGAATTTCAGGGGTAGCACTATTTTCTTGTAAGAAGGTCACAGGTGTGTTGTGATCTGTTACTTATGCTATTGCACAGTGATTCAAGATACCAGTTGTCTTAAATGACTGGACCTCTTCTACCCCTCACCAAGTCTGTGTCAGTCAGACTTCCATGAGCAAGAGCATATTGCACTCCCGAACTTCATTACACCTTTGTTGGAACCAAAGCTCTTTGCTTAAGTAAAGAGGATGAAATCTTACAATACTCTCTGAAAATGTGGGCTCTCTAGAACAGGACCTTCCCATCTCTGAACAAGCATTTTTGGCTGGCAAAACATATAAAAAGGCCTCGATTAAGCTTACTGGTTAATATAAACTTTATAGTGAATTCAGTTTCTCTTACTGTTTTCTGTGTGTCCTCTTAAGTAAGCTGCTGGGCAGAAAGGGCTATTGTACAAGGAACAATGTAAAACAGATCTATCATGTCCTTGAAAAATTTGTAGTTGAAATGCAAAGAGACAGGCTCTCAGATAACAGCCTCTTTTTTTTCTGGTTGCCTGTCTTAAGACACAAACTTAGGACTCATCCTTCTATGCGTCTAGGAGGCAGTGGGATAATATGTGCTAGCTCTGCTACTGAACAGTACATAGGAGGGTCTAGAGTTCACAGCTTGATGTACCTTCTTCATTGTGCCTTGCTGTACTCTGGTGATACGCACTGCTTTGGCTGCTGTATTTAAAGAAAAAAAACCCCAAAAGCAACCCCCCACCCCCCCAACCAAACACACCTTTTCTTACACTAGTTTTTTTGGGACACTTGAGACACTAATTTATCTCCAGTCTTTCTCACATTTGTCATCTGTAAAGTGCAAGTTTTCAATTTCAGCTGTAAAATTATTTAAATAGAATGAACAAACTCTTGAAAGATCAGTTTCAATGATATGTTCATATTGTGCAAATAACTGTAAACTTAGGATGCATCTCTGTTGGTGTTTGAGTTGGAGTTGGGAATGTTCTTTTGAAGCAAATCTGTCATCCTCACCTGCTGTGTTTTGGCTAATATCATGGAATGGTCTTGGAGCACTTGAATTGGAATCTTTTTGGGTGAAACTAAACTGGAAGTTGTGCTCTAGGAGAGCAGTTGACTTGTGGTTGTAATCTGGTCTGCTTTGAAGTAGGAATCACTGAAATGTGGTGATGGTGGACACTGGTCCTCAATGGCAAGTATCTTGCTTTACACACTTCTGTTAATCTGCACTACTTGTTGAGGTAGTTGTACAGATAGTATGAGTTTTTATTCAGCCACTTTATTAGATCCATGTGTTTCTTGAAAAAAAACAAACCCAAACAAACACAATGTATTATACAAACACACACCACAGTCTCCAAGCCCACACAAAACAAAAAAACCGAGTATTGTAGAGGGAATTAAGCAGTAATGTGAGTCTGTAGGGGTTGGTGCTTCTTGCCTAAAATTAGCCACAAAGTTTATAAGCAAACTTAAGGGCCACACCTTCTAAAGTGTTAGAGAAGGTTACTTCACTTTGGTCATAGATATGCAATCATAACCCTTCGAGCAAGGACAAGTTTTAATACTGTCTGAACTTGTGTACTTGATTATGTTTCTGCTCTGTATAAATAGCTTTCTAAATGCTGAAAATGCAGTGGCTTTTTTCTTAAATCTTTCTTGTGGCTAAGGTACACGCATTTTCAAAATACAAGTTAAGTCACAGAAACTTGGACAGTTTGTGCAGTTTATCACTTGTACTGTAATTTCAGACTTTTATGTGTAGTCCACTAATCTAATGTAAGCAAGCGGTTGTATAGCCATTGGTAGTGTAGCCAAATGGCTTTGTAGTAGCCTTAACTTGGCCTCTGTCTCTAGTGCTCTGACTGGAGTGAACATTACTATAGACTTCAGTTGAGGAAGGTGTTAAAAAGGAGAGAGGCTGGAGAATGGTATCACTTCCAAGCTGAAACGCTAGTGCATGTCTTTCTCTAGTCTTTGTCTCTTTTGCAGCTTAAAGGTCTTTTGTTAAAACTTTATCAGTTTAACTTGCTGAGTGGCGACTGTTCACTTGCATTAAGACTTTGGAAATTCCAAACTCCTCTCTGGTCTAGTATGTAAAAGATGCTATTGTGACGTAATGCTGACAGGTTTGGCTTAACCGGGAAGCAACAGTGCAACCCATTTTCCTCTAGACGGGGCTTATTTGATGGTACCCTAATAGCATCAGTACCTGCAATCAAAATGTGTGTGGGAAGCCTGTGATGTGTTTTCTCCTGGAGTTTTACTAGCAGTTTCACACTCAGCACAGTAACTTGAAACGAACTTTGAGTGTTTGAATCTTACAGTTGCATTTGGTTTTAAAAAAGAAAAAAGACTACCAAACAATGATGCTACGCTCACAGACAGTGTAGAAAAATTTTTGCAGCACAAATTGGAAGTAGACTTAGCATCTATGATGTGTGCTTTTTCTCTAAAAGAAGCGAGGGGGGTGTGTTTGAAAAGTGATTTATAAACTGGGCAACTGTGTCCCTGCCCCGTGTATGCACATGACCAAACCAGCCTTGGTCAAGTTGGACTATCGTGATTTTTCCAGTTTCTATTGTCAGTAGAGATATTGAAATAACTTTGTACTTTGGATGACTTCCTGCTCTTGTAGATATTATAGTTCTTAGTGGCTTTACTACCAGATTGAAAAGTATTCAGTGTTATCCTTCTAACTTAGACTTACTGTTATGATCGCACCTTCCTAATTGTGCTGCATGAACCCTTGTCTGAGATATCTCTTCCAGCACTTCCCATTGAAGGATGACTCTTCGCAGGTTTGTAAGGAAGCAATGAAATGATACTAAATCTTCCCTTTGCAGCAGTAAATGAAAGAGGAGTGGGAAGTGGAGGCATTAATGAGAGCGCTCTTCGGGGGTGGGAGAGGGGGCTTAGAAGGTACTTACTGTCACTTTATTAACTCTGTATCTACCTTGTCACCATGCGTGCTGAAAAATTGTGCCCTTGTGGCTTAAATTCCCAGTGATGCCATAGTATTTACTTTGAATGGGGACAATTTGGAAGTGATGTTCTGAGGCACACAATAAGATCTTTTCTGAAACTGGTGCAGTTGACTGTTCTTTTCATTTGTGAGCAATGTTTCAATATGTTGGTATGTAGTAATGGAAGTGGTCCTATATACTAGAACTATTCACTAGTGCTGCAAATTTTTTTTTTTTAAGTGGCATGAAATGATAGCAGTGCTTATCTTTTAATCTGCATCTTGTCACTCTCCTGACATCTTTAGGAACAGCAATATTTAAGTAGGATATCAATTTGACATAAATGACTGCTACGCTGTTGCAGTTGTGTGTGAAAGTATGATACATTATACAGATGTTAAGTTTTTGGACTACAGTGTATACACGTTCTTGTGTACTTGGGTTTGAAGACTAAAAGAGAAATAAGATTCTTTTTAGGTGCATAGAGGATGTTGGTATAAGCAGTATCTGGAAAACACTTTAGGCTGACCTCTTTCAAATATTAAAGCAAGAATGCTTTTGTCAGTTATACTACTTTTGTTCTGATCAATCTTGATAATATGTTAACTGTTAACATCTTACCTGAGACTTGTGTAAAATCTATATTTAATGTTTGAGTTGGTGGCGAAGACAGATGGAGTATTTCTGAGGAGAGAAAGTATGTTTTTTTACGCAGTTTATTTCGTCTGTGGTATTGCTTTATTTCAATCTAACTTTTGACATAAGTAAAAGGGTGTTTAGTTTTGTATAGTTCATATTTGGAAGGATTTAATACCTCACTCAGCTGCTGAGAAATATGACTTAGATGAAATACTTTGTTTATTAACTAACTTCAAAAGATACGGCTTTTTTCATATGCACTGAGTAACTCTTTGAGGACAGGTTCTAGTTGGGTCTTTACTATGGTTTTGCTAAGGAAGGCTAAGGGCTGGCAGTTTCCCTGAGATTGTTTATATAAACACTGCAAAATAAGTGGTGGGTCACTTGTCAACTTCTGAACCTGTGTTACTCTAAGCTGAGTGTCTGCCTGTGAATTAAAATGTGTATCAGCAGACAGCTTTGCTCAGTTGAGTGAAGCCTTGGTGTGGGTTATGAAACTGTCTTTTAAGTTGTGAGGGGGGGAAGAGAAAGGGCAGGGAAAAAACTCAACAACAAAAAAAATCCCACAAACCAAAACAACACTTGAAGGTGCAGCAAGGGCTCTGTTTTCCTGGACCTGCCCCTGTGAATGGAAATGGACAAACACAGGCTCATCAATACTTACCTTATAGTTTTTCATCATTATTGAGGGACTTAGCCTCTCAAAGTACTTGTTGCTAGAATATTTGTTTAAATGAAGTTTCTGAATGAATGATACGTTAATGCAAAAGAATCAAGAACTTGTAACTGGGTAAGTTATGAGTTAGAAGCCTTGAATTATAAGCAGAAGTACAGGTAGGTAGCTTACAACCTTTAACAAGAATCGGTCTTCCAGCTGCCTGTGTACCTTTCACAGCACTTAGTTTTCCAAGCGTTACTCTTTGTTTCTAGCTCATCAGACTATTCCAACTACCTTTGTGTCTAAGTTAACTTTTAACGAGACCTTAAGCAAGCTGTCACAACCTTAGTATAAATTGGGACAGTGATACTTGTTTGTTGGTGCGTGGTTAAAGTTCTTCTAACTTAATCCTGCCCTCTTTCCAACCTGTCAGTCTGCTTGCCATTGTGTAGATCTTAAGAGAAAGGGAATTAATGTCATGCTCCTTTAAACTGACATGCTACTGCGTGTAGTTGCTATTGTCTTGTGTGCCTTCTCTTTGCAACACATGCAAAGTGAATGATTAAGCTCAAAGAATGATAAGTCAGAAAACAGTAGGTCTTTAAAAAAACCCACCTCATCAGTTTTGACTTCCTATTTGTTATGTTTCTAGTATATTCCTTCTGCTCTGGCTATAAGTGTTACTTCTACTGATAGTTTGATGGATAAAGAAAATAAAGCAAATGCAAATAGCCTGCATGATACAGTATTTATGTTCTGTGGGATATGGTTGTAGTTTTATTGGTCTGCATAAATTGGACATTAGTATGAAATTATGTTTGTAAAACTTAAGAACTTGAAGGGTTTAAAGGTGGAATAGGGGACATCTGGAACAAGTGGAAACTCTTCAGTGCATGATTTAAGTACTTGATGTTTTGATATATTGCTTCAGTCTTGTTTTAGTTGAAAAGATCTTCAATTACTTGTGTTCTGTGAATACTTAAAGCTCTTAAGTTGAATCCAATTCTAATTAAAGCAAAACAAAAATCTTTAATGGAAAATAACCTTTTAGGATATACTTCAGAATAAATGAACCCTGATCAGTTAGCTTACATAAAAAAGAGATTCCTGCCAAGTGTAAATTATGTAATAACTTTTACTCCCATAATAAAAATATTTCAAGGGGAAAATTAAATTTCATGTCTTAATCTTTTGTTGGGAAAAGGAAAAGCCAAACACTCAGAATTAGGTGAAACATTCCAAAGTTTACCTTGGAGTTTGCTGTTGTGAGCTGAAGATCTGTTTTATTTAACTGTACTTTGATAGTAAAAATGTTCTCCTCTAGTATGAGAAATAAAAACAAATTAGTGGAGTATGGAGAACATGCTGTTAATCTAATCTTCTCAGATGGTTATGCTCTTAGAAAGATGAGCCACAGAAAATGTTTTGAATATGTGCTGTCTAGGTGCTTCATCTGTTTGTGTAACTGACTAAATAAGAATACTTTGGAAGAAAACAGAGGAAGGGAAGTTATCAAGAAAAACAGTCATATTACTGAAGTTTTACCATTTTGACTCTAAGCAAATTATCATGTGTTTATCACTTGGGTGATTAGACTGGGTACTATTTTCCTGCGAAGGTTTATGTTCAGGTTTGTGTTGAAATCCTTCAGAGGACAGCGAAACTTTCTGGTCAATAGCAGGCTTAGCTCTGCCTCCACTACTAGGTTTCTGGCGTTTGGTTGGAAGAAGCTATTTGAAAGCTTGTGGAGCTCTCCTACGCGTTCTATTTTTTTGGCCTAAACTTCTTACTGTTTGGGGTCATGGGTTAGAGCGGGACACTGAAATCTTGAGTCTACATTTTTCCACTTCCCCCATATGATTCAAAGATGGTTGCGCAGCTCAACTCAAAGAACTAGACAGCCTAGATTAATAGCATATAAGCATATAATTGGCAGTTCTTTTAACTTTGAAACCTTGCTTTTTCCAGCATTAATACTAGACTAGTTTGAGGTTGCATAAAGGTTAGTGGTGCTTGGAGTTTCTGTATAGGTAGTATATGAGCAGTAGGGTTTTCCTGGTGACAGCCAAGTCAAAAATGTTTTATCCAGGGAGGTACAAGTGATATGTCTCTTGCCTTAGCAATTATTTGTTATGAGCTGTCTCTTCTGAGTCTTGGAGATGGTAATTCTCATTGGTTTTGAAAATAAGTTACATCTTCACAAATTCCATGTTTAAGTCTTTTATCTATGGTATAGTATGATCTTTGTCCTCCAGTCAGAGCTCATACAATAAACCATTTTTTGCATGCAGCTGAAAGCTGCTTGGAGGACCTTTTAGGTTATCTATGTGAAACTCATGCCTTTCTCTGACATCACAGGTTTCCTGTCTTATCTGACTGCCTTCACGGGTAGCACGCGTTTCTGCCTTCCTCTTACTTCAGCTGTTACTAAACAGCTCTTGATGGATCTGCAGCCAGAAAATAACTGGCAGGGCTGAGCTTTCTGACCAAGTGGAACTGGTTGCATTCCCATTTCGACCATTTGATTTCCTCAAACTGAAGAGCAAAGAGTCAAATTTGTAAACACTCATAACTGGATAAAGTCTTAATGCATGGAATTTTGAGGTTAATGAGTATATATCTATGTCTGAGAAGAGGTCTTTGACAGGTGCTCTAGTCTTGTGCCTTACTGTGCTAGCTTAATGGTTACGTGAATAATTCAGTAATCTTGCATGCCAGGAAAATTTGAATTTATCTACACAGCTCAGGTGTGAGAAGATGTTTTTTATTTATTTAAAATGCCTAAGTAATTGTGTGCTTTACACAACAGTTACGCTGGTATTGATTTGTAACTGTACCAGGTGATACTCTTGAAATACTGCTTTAATGTTAGGAATTGATATGGAAAGGTTTGAAGCTGTAAACTAATACTTATAAATGGTCCAAAAATAAATAATAATTCCACCTACAGGTTTGTATCTGTATCTTGGAATTCTGATAGCTTTCTGTTTTGACTTTCTGCTGACAGGTCACACTTAGGGCAGGCAAAACATAAGGCACATAGCCCTCCTGAGAATAGAAAATCTATTTCAAAGACACCCAAAGTGCAGTCTAATACTACTTCTGAGCAGTCCAAGGGACACTTTTCTAAAAGGTAATTGTGCTTCATATTCATATGTTAACCAGTGTTATCTGCGCTTCACAGCTGTGTAATATATATAGTTAACAGGCTGCTTATAAAATGTATGACTAATAGATTTTAACTAATCTAGGTATTGCTTTCTGTGGATATATTTCAGTGTTTCACATTCTGTTTGTGTTTTTGTTTTGTGTGTGTGTGGTTTTTTTTTTTAATTCCCCAACTAAGAGCATTCCATCAGTGATGGGGAGGAAATGATTTCTGCATAACTAGTCCTGGAATACTTGCAAGGTCTTTCTCCCCTTTTTCCGCTTCATGTTGGCAGAAGATTGCCCAAGGAGTTCTGAGCCATGTCCAATATTAATTGAAATGTAATCATCTAAAGTATGCCTGTGTTCAGGGTAATCACCTCAGTCATGCTTTGTCTACTCTTCATACGCTTCTGCTATATACACACCGGAACAGGTTTCTATCATGTAGAAGAGAATTTTGCCATTCTCGTCTGTCATTCATTGCCTCAATTTCAAGATTGATGAGAAACTATCCTTTCCTTAAGAGCCTTCCTTGAACTACAAACCAGTTATGACTAGTTATGCATTACTGAACACTCCTTACTCTCTTGTGGAACTTACATTCTCAAACATTCAGATAATAGCTTCATGGCTTAAAATGTTTTTCTCTTTCATCAGTTTGACACTGGTATTAAATTTTACTATCTGATTATTATTAGTTTTTTTATCGAGGTTACCCCATATCTTCCTCCTTAAAAAAAACACGTGCTGTGCTCTTATTTTGCAATTTACTTTAGTTTTCATGCTAGCAAAGATTTGCAATACGACTGTTCTCATACAAGCATGCTTTTTTTTCTTGTTTCAATGTAACCTTAATAATCAACAGTGTTTCCTACCTGCAGTTTCCTTTATTATTAGAGAATGCTGACATTTATCTTGCAAAACTGTTGCGACCGTGAGGTTTCTAGAGTTCAATACTAACGCTGTTCCTGCTTACTTCTACAGAGGCTGTAGTTCATCTGCTGTTTTAATACCACAAGAAGAAGATCCGGAGAGAGTCAATACTTCAGAAAAGCAAAAAACGGGGCAAGTGCCTAAGAAAGACAATTCTCGAGGAGTTAAACGCAGTGCTAGTCCAGATTACAGGAGGACCAATTCTCCTAGCTCTGCTAAAAAACCCAAAGCACTTCAACACACTGAAACTTCCTTGGAGACTAATAAGCCACATACTAAAACTAAGAGAAGACACTTAGACCAAGAACAGCCGAAGTCTACACAATTGCCATCAACAAGCAAGGCTCACACCAGAAAGGGTGGAGCTGCTGGTAGCTCCCGAAGTCAGAAAAGGAAAAGGACAGAGAGTCTGTCTTGTATAAAGAGTGGTTCA